CGGGGCGGTGCAAGGGAGGAGCATCGAGGAAAGGATGGAAATCCATAGGTCCTCCCCGAGGTCGTCTCCGGTCGTCTCTCTAGCATGACAATCAGGTTCGCGTCTGACCTCATGTGGGTTGGCCCCATTTTCTACTCCAGGACAAACGACATGACCCACGACCCGGTTGTCGATTACGTCGCGCATAAAGAAGATCATCTCTCTCTTTCTTCCTTTCTCTTTTTTTCTCTCGGGAGTACTTACTCAGCTCGTCCGTAGCCGCTGCCATTTTGAAAAAGCCTGTAAAGAGGAGAAAGCGAATCCGGACGGCGAGGAGTTGCCGTCCGTGGAGCCGCGTGCGATTCGATGGCGAAGCGATGAAAGTTCGACGTCGGGATCGTTAGACCTGCGACTCTCCTTCCTCTCTTCCTTCTTGTTCTTTTTTTTTCTCTAACGTGACCGTAGACGTTGATCGTCGAGCAGCACACGACGCGCCGCGTGTATCGCACCCCTCTCGCGACTTCGACGTCGTTTTACTTGGGGGCGCTATGAATTTCGGACTGATTGTGAGGTTAGGAAAGAAGAGGCGAATGAGCGACACTTCGCAATGTCGTTCACGGTATTCCCTTTGATTTTCTTTTTCTCTTACGACAGTCACATCCGTCGAGTAACGCTCTAGAACTAACCGCGAATTTCTATTAGACGTTGGAGAATGTGCGTTGTGCAAAAAATTGACATTCTTGGTAAATAAGCATGTCAGAAATGTGCGAAATGATTTTCATATTTTGGAGCATTTAACAGTCCGACGAGCTCTCGAGAGGAATAATCCTCGTCGATCTTTCATCGAAGCTGAAATCTTACTTGTTTTCACGAGCGCGATCGGAAATCGCTGGAAAAAAAGAGTGGCGATCACGGAATTGCTCGGAAAATGCTCGGTTGAGGTTAGAATGTCACCGTGATTGCAGGCGCGGTTGCACTCCAACGAGCGATAAGCGAGTGACATGCGCGATCACGTGGCACGATTATAATTTTTTATAATTTTTCAAGACGCTTGAAAAGGATGGAAAAAGTTTCGCGAGTTCAGGAAAACGACCTTAGTTAATTTAAACAATATAATGGAAATTCCCCGAGAACGATTACATCTCTTTCTGTTCCTTTTTTTCGATAACTGCATGCAGCGGAAATCTGTTTTACGGTTTCAAGCTTGATTGTCGCTTTATTAATGTACTTATATTTTTCTACAAATGTAGTGTAGATTAACGTAGATAATTTCAGTTTAACTTACTTTTTTTCTAGTTCTAATAGTTAGAAAAGAATGAAGAGTAACTTATATAAACAGAGATTAAAGTTAATCTCGGTTTAACTTATTTTTATTCTAGCTCTAAGAATTAGGATTAGCTCTAAGAAAAGGATAAAGAATAAATTAAATAGAGATTAGAAATTATATAAGAAGGCTCAAATAATTTTTAAAAATTAAATTAATAAGAATAGAACTACGAGTCAAGGTCTTGATGCTATATTATTAAATAACAAACAGAAAGTTTATTAGAACATACATTTTGATCCCAATTGGATCATTCTCAATGTTAAACAATTATAACGTGACTCTACTTTAAGACATCCGTTAACGACTACAATAATGATTTAATAATGTATTTCTTTGGAATTTATTGTTCTTAATGTTATAATCAAAGTGATGATATTAGTTAATACCGTTTGAATTATAAAATTTATTATATTGTTTAACATTGAGAATGACTCAATTGGAGTCAAAACGTATGTTCTAATAAATATTTTGTTTGTTATTTAATAATACCGCATAAAGCTGTTTGCTTGACAACTGCTTGGCTCGTAGCCCTATTCTTATTAACTTAATTTTTAAACAGAGATTGTTAATTAAAGTTAATTACGTTAATAGAAATGGATATTAATTTTCCGGAGCTGACGTGAGCTTATTAGATCCACTCAATTCTTTCTACAATTTTTATTAAAATAAATTTCATAATTCTTTTTTATACAAGTTATGTTATTTTAGTTCCTTAAAATTAATTAATGCCTTTTAATCAGCAGTTATTAAATGGGTTTCACAAATTCAGTATCAGTAATTATAATATTATAGATTTTGTTTTCAGCTCCGGAGAATTAAATATTTACATTTGTTATCATCGCGAAGAAAACTCTTCTCTTCTTGCTGGGAGATGCGATTTCTTTGTTTATACATCCGTCGTCGATTTACATATAAAAAATGGAAATATATGAGGATGATATCTCCAGCTTCGAACTTGAGTGGCAAGGAGAAACGATACCATCTTTTTTAAACCTACGCCTACGATAGAATCAATTTTAAACTTTCCCGCCGAGATGGACTTTTGAAGTTGTCCGCGAGTCAAAACCGCATTATTTTTTTTTTATATGTAAATCGACGACGAATATATAAACAAAGAAATCGCATCTCCCAGCAAGAAGGGGAGAGTTTTCTTCGCGATTTTTTTCAGAGTCAGAGAATGTTACGTGATGTTCAAATTTAAGTGCTATCAGTGTCGCTCCAAATTCGAACGCGACTTTCGAGGTGTGGAACGGCCCGAAGTTAGCCGCGCGAACGTCGGGCCAATGAGCGCTGCGTGTTTGGTGATACAAATCCACTGACCGATTGCCGCCTCCCCTCCATTCTGGTCGCGCTTGTTTATTGACCTTCAGACCTGTCTTTCGCGAGATAGAGGTCAACTTGCGCAAAGACTTCTTCTGCCTGATCGTTCGAATGCGAGCGACATTTGTATCTAACGTGTTCACCAGTGTTCACGCGATATCATTTTGCACTCCATCGCCGACATAGGTAGGGAATCGTCGAAGTGCAAAGGAAAGTTCTTGGACGTCGCTTTTGCCACGTGCGTGCGTGCACGTGTGTGTTCGTACTTCGGCAGGTGTTAAACCAAGTTTTTAATCGCGTGCGACCGATTTGCAAAATTTTTGTCGAGTTGTTTCTTGGTGTGAATAATATTTGTGTACTTGCGCTATTTGCGCTCGTTTTTTTTTGTGCATGGATGGATAATTACATTAAATGTTATTGTCATCGTTATCATTATATACGTATCGTTATATTGTTATGCTGTATCGTTACGAGGCCGTTTCGCATTTGTATTTGTGATATCAACTGACTTATTTGACCCTTTATTCGTTCTTTTAATTCTCCGAAGCTGACAATGGGTCTATATTTTTGACCTGCTCAATTATATCACTCCAAAGCTGATGGTGGGTCTATTGGACCCTATATTCTTTTTATTACATCTGCAAATTTGAATTATTATTATATTAAACTTGGTATTTATTATCCAATCCTGCAAATTCACACGGAATTATTTAAACACTAAAGATCCAGCTTGACCGTTTAGGGTTTTTATTTCTGATTTATTGTGTATTCACATCATGATCTTAAAAGATAACATATTTAATATTGCTTAGTATTAATTCTTTTTTATATATATTGCTCCAAAGTTGACGGTATGTCTATTAGACTTACTCATTTATATTCCTTATGTTACATTACAAATTTCAATTATTATTATCAAATTTAGTATTCTTTTATATATGTATATCATTCAGATTTATTTGTTGGATTTACTTGTTTATATTCTTTATGCTACATCTATAAATTGGAATTATTGGTTTTGAACTTAGTATTTATTCTTTTATATATATATATATATATTATTCTGGAGCTGACAGTGGATCTATTTGGACTTATTCTTTCTGTTATATCTGCAAATTTGTAATTTATTATTGTTATTATTAACATTTATTCTTTTTATGCAAGTTACCTCATTTTTGTTCCCTTGAATTAATTAGTGCCTTTTTAATCATGTGTGAGTCAATAGAAATTAAATAGGTCTCATAAACCCATCAATAACTGTTACAGATTTTGACATTAATTTTAGAAGATTAATGTAAATCGTAATTCTAAATTATATTCTAAATCATAATCTTGTAAATTATAATTACTAATCTTTAATCAGCTCCTTACATAAATCGATTTATATTGCCTTCTTTATTGAAAAAAATGCGTGGTACGTAGAACAGTGATATGTACTGCATAAATTGCGTTAATGTCTTTTACAAAGTATATTTGTATTATGTACAAATTAAAGTGATAATTGTTATCATAAAACGTTAATAAAGAGATTATTAATTTATTACTATAAATGTTTGTATTTTAGTATTATAATATAACATTTTATATATTAATGTAAATATTAATATGCATTATGAACAATCTATTATAATTTCTCTTATTTTGATTAAATTATTGTGCAATAATGCATCTTATAAAACATGATGTAAGTACTAAGGTTTTACCAATATCTGAAATTTCTGTTTTTCATAACTTCTATACTCATCATTCTATACTCACTATTCTCAATATTAGAGGTATATGTATAGAAACCTCGATAGAAACATATGTGCAATATCATAATCTACGTGTTATGCACCTAGTAGCCTTTATTTTATATATCTGTTATAGGTAGCACGTATAAAGGATTTTGCTTATACATAGTAAAATGTCGGCAGATGCTGTGATATCATTTTCCTAATAAATTGTCCATACCAATCAACTAAAAACGTTCAATTAACTCGCATTGGCAATGGCTCGGAGAATAAGACGCTTCATTTACAATACAAGAAAAATGGTCTTAAGGCTTTTTAGACGCTTTCTGCAAATTATCCGTAAATGGCTCTTTAAAGGATTGGATGCTATAGTAAGTTCTATACGCGCGAACGTGCAATACAATGTGCGGAATTGCGAGACCATATTCTTAACAAAAAGTCTTAGTGATACGATCGTTTGATGGCAGTGGAAGATGGTGCTTGCCATCGTTACATATTGACTTGGGGGGGCAAGTCTTATGGTAGAAAGCAGTTGTCTCTGCGGTACCACGATATTGTAATTCTAGTATGTAGGGTAAGAATAGCTGCGGCTTTTATATGTGCTCACACACCAGAAACGCCGTAATATAATATCGTGCACGCTTGCTAACTGCTTTATGCCAATATCTTATATTAAGGCTTAACTCTGCCGGCTAAACACATATCCGTTTCCTACGCTCGAGGCGTATCATCCCTTTGGAAGCTCTCTGACAGATCTGATCCCGAAAATTTGGTAAACTTATTCCATCTCCTACCTCTCACTAATGTTCGATTCTATCAATTAGAAGCGATATCTGTACATTTTTAATACAAAATTCTCTTTATAATTTCAGACGATTAAAAACATGCATCCTTTGCCATCACATTCTACAACTACCCATGAGCAAATAAGAGTTCTAACTGTGAACAATGGAGAACATTTAGATGGGATATTATACAGATTAAAGAAAGGTCTTTAAAAAGAAGTTTCGCTCCTCTTAAAATTATTTTTTGAACTATATTTTGACAAGTTTTGTTGCGACATGTCTTTACTATAAATGATTTTATGTTGCTTGCAGGTTGGATAGTTGAGTTTCGACTTGGAGCTTCCCTTCTTGGAAAAACACTTGATGTTTTTATAAATCATCCATTATCGACCGATAAAAAATTCGAGAGGCATACTTACTATCAATTGAAATGGATTGACGAGTCGGCGAGCATACATTTAACTTTGTCAGGGTCATTCCATTATTATGTCACTGACCAGTAAGTGGATTAAGAATATTATGAGTATATATATATATAAGATAAAATTTTATTTCTTAATAACAAAAACTTTACAGAGTCGAAGGGAATATAAAACCTGTTGCGTCTGGGTACTTGCTGGTAGATCCTGAGTTGAAAATAGGTGAACATGGCGAGAAGTTACCTCTAGATTGTATTCAAATCCAAACAGTTCTAGCAAAGAGTTTAGGACCATTTTGTACATGGGAAAGTAAATTACTGGTAGCACGAAATTCTGGATATAACGCAATTCATTTTACACCGATTCAGGTAATGTCCACGCGATTGATGTATAATGTAAGAATACAATATTTAATAAACGCGAGTTTTGTTGTAGGAATTAGGACGTTCTAAATCGTCGTACAGCCTGAAGGATCAAGCAAAGCTTAATCCCGCTTTTAATGATAACAATAAGATAATTACTTATCACGATATCGAAACATTTGCAAATAAAATGCGTAATGAATGGGAGGTAAATTATTGTTTATCAAGAATAAGATAAATCGCGTATTCTTGCAGGTATCCAAATATATCCTTCAATTATCTTGTATGTTACAGATGTTGAGCATCTGTGATATTGTTCTAAATCACACGGCGAATGAGAGTCCTTTCCTGGTTTCTCACCCGGAGTGCACGTACAACTGCATTAACAGTCCTCATTTACGTCCAGCATATATCTTAGATGCAGCATTATTTGAATTAACAACTCAGGTAGCTTCTGGAGAATGGGAATTTAAAGGTATTCCTACTGTAATTGACACCGAGGATCATTTGAACGTAAGTCACAAATCATTCCTCAGTAATTAAAATTGAATTCTTTCGTGCTTTAACGTATCTTGCATCTACTTTATTTTGTCTTTAGGCGATTCGACATGCTCTCCACACACATTTCTTGCCACTAGTGAAAATACATGAGATGTACACCATCGATGTCAATGAAATTGTAGCGGAATTCTTAAATTCAGCGCGCAATGAGATGCCACAAGACGTGAATAATACAACAACCAAAGACATTACGGTGATTCAAGATCCTGCATTTCGTAGATTAAAATCAACCATAGATATGCAGCTTGCTCTGAAGAAGTATAATACATATAGGTAAAATAAATGTAGACACGATAAGGTATATAGCCAACATATGTCCTCTCACATAAATGCTCATGCATGATTCTTTTACTTTACGTAGAGCTGATTGTTTTGACGAGGAAACTCGCCTGAAACGATGTGCAGAGGACTTGAAAAATAAATTACAAGAACTCAATACAGTTATTATCAACAATATGCAAAATCATCTAAATGCTGCTGTTGAAAATAGTATTGCTGGCATGAAATATTTTAGAGTGCAATCCGATGGTCCACGAATTAAGGAAATTAATGAAAAAAATCCTCTCGTTCCCAGGTAATTTTATTTAAATTTGTATATATTATAACGTTATATTATAATTTCTAAATATGACTCTTGATATGATAAATTTACATTCCATAGATACTTTACCGATTACGGAGCACCTGAATCTTTAATAGAAAGAGAAAGCATAATGTATTCAGATAATGGATGTTATCTTATGGCTCACAATGGATGGGTTATGAATGGCGATCCCTTGAAAAATTTCGCGGAGCCTGATTCTAATGTGTACATTCGAAGAGAACTCATCGCTTGGGGAGACAGCGTAAAACTGAGGTAAAAATATCAGATAAACGTTATTTAAACGTCAATTTTCAATGAATTACTAGTAGAAAGTGCATATGCAGATAATTTAAAATATATGTTATTAATATGATTGTTACAGATATGGGCAGAAACCAGAGGATTGTCCTTTCTTATGGCAGCACATGGTGACCTATGTAGAACAAACGGCGCAGATATTCGATGGTATTCGATTAGACAATTGCCATTCCACGCCGATCCCTGTCGCTGAGGTATATCACAATTCTAAACCTTAATGCAACGGAGTTTATTTAATAGCACGGTTCTCTATCTGCAGTATATGCTGGACGCTGCACGACAAATTCGTCCAGATCTCTATGTTGTCGCAGAATTGTTTACCGACTCCGATCAAAAAGACAATATCTTTGTGAATCGTCTTGGCATCACATCTTTAATAAGAGGTTGTCATATTTCTCAAAAACTATTATTAATATTTTTAAAATGCAATTAATAAAAAAAAGAACATGTCGCGAATGAAGATATACATCAAAACTGTTATATTGTAGAAGCTATGTCTGCTTGGGATAGCCATGAACAAGGAAGATTAGTATATCGATCATGGATGTGACTCATGATAATCCTAGTCCAGTAGAGAAACGAAGTACTTTTGATCTACTCCCTAGCGCAGCGCTCGTATCGATGGCGTGCTGTGCTAGTGGTAGTAATCGCGGATACGACGAATTGGTGCCTCATCACGTAAGTTCGTAATGCAAATTTTTGTACTTTTGATATCTTATATATTTACAAGATTTTCTGAGATTTTATTTTCTTCAGATACACGTGGTAGATGAGAAAAGGCAGTACACTTCATGGATAGACGATGATTCGATAAACAATGTTAAGTTTATTAATTCGAAAACTGGTATAATTGCAGCTAAAAAGACATTGAACGATCTACATTACATGCTTGGTCAACAAAAATTTTCACAAGTATGTCATTAATTGCTCAGTTTTCGCGGTTTATATGTATTAGAAAGCCAATGTATGTAGCTAAAAGTTTATTTTCTGATTCTTAGGTATTTGTCGATCAAATGGATACTGATATAGTGGCCGTAACAAGACACTCACCGACTACTCACGAAAGTGTAGTCTTGGTCGCATTCACAGCATTTAAACATCCAGACTCTAACGCTCATGATCTGAGAAAGCACGTAAGACCACTTAGAGTGGAGGGTATAGTGGAAGAAATTATTTTAGAAGGGTCACTTTCGCACATTGATGCCAAGTAAGCCGTAAATTTTATTTTCTTTAAAAGGAAGGTTTACATGTTTATGTTGATCGATAAATCGCGTTACAGAAATGGTAAACCACTTTTTCTTTTGCCTGAGAGATATACAATGGACGAAAATATTATAAATGGATTGTCCGAATATTCATTGAGCCTTAAACAGCACATACAGTGTTGCGATTCCACGATGATCGAGAAGACCGATTCCGGCGATCCTAAAATCACGCAGCTTAATTTCATCAACTTCCAACCCGGTTCCGTTATAGCTATACGGTACAAACTACAACTTTCTGTCCCCAAAACCGCAATATCCCCTAACTTTCTTATGTATAAATTTAATTTCAGTGTGGCTCTTCACGCGAATATAGTACCTGCTTTAATGAAACTCCAAAATACTATCTCGCAGATTACTTCAAATGAAAAATCAGAATTACATAATATAGTTTCCGGCATGGACTTCTCGGATTTAAATAAAACGTTATATAGATGTGATCAAGAGGAACGAGAGGAAACTCAGGGCAAATTTGGGGTATATAATGTGCCAGGATACGGACCTCTTGTATATGCTGGACTGCAAGGTGATGCACTGTAATATTTAATTGAATATGAAGTATATATTTATAGACACTTCATATTTTTTTAATTACAACTCGTACATCAATATATTGGTACGAGTTTTATTGGTATCCTATTGCTGTTTAATAAGTGCTTCAGCTAATAAGCGTTTTCAAATTAGGCATTATATCTTTATTGGCTGATATTCGTCCAAATAACGATCTAGGACATCCCCTGTGTGTTAATCTTAGACAGGGTAACTGGTTAATAGGTAATATATCAGAAACCATTTTCGAAATGTATGTTGTGATATTGACGATATGTGAAAATGGTAATTAAAAAATTATTAGATTACGTGTGGCAACGTCTAAAAGAGGATGACGACACTGAACCTCTTGGAATTTGGCTTGAACAAGCCCTAGAACCGTTTAAATTAATCCCGAGATATCTTGTGCCGAGTTACTTTGACGTTATAATTGTGAACGTTTATAGGATTCTTTTAGATCACTGCAACAGTTTAATGTCAGAGTAAGCATCAAAATCGAAATGAATACTGAATCAATTCATTAGAGTATCGAACTTAAAAGTTTCCTAATTAATATTTTGAAAAGAATAAAATATTTACAACAAAAAAATTAATCATATGTTATTTGTTTAATATTGTTATTCCAGCTTTGTTAAGAACGGAACTACATTTGTTAAATTACTGAGTTTGGTTTCGATTCAAATGGGTGGTGTGGTAAGATCATCGCAATTGCCAAATTTATCGCCGGATCTTAATCCACCTAAGCCAAAAACTAAAATTCACGACGGAGTGACAGAGCAAGTGTGTTTAACGTTATCAGCGGGCTTACCGCATTTCACAACGGGTTACACAAGAAATTGGGGTAGGGATACTTTCATTGCTATAAGAGGGCTGTTACTTTTGACTGACAGGCATGTCGAAGCAAGATTCATAATTCTTGGATTCGCCAGTACTTTACGACACGGCCTGATACCCAATCTGCTCGATAAAGGAAGTAATGCGAGGTATAATATACTTAGAGTATTTTTAGGATAATATTTTAGGAAGTTTTGATTCAAGCTTTATCCTCAATCTCATTCTGCAATAGATACAATTGCCGCGATGCTTTATGGTGGTGGCTCTATACGATTAAATGTTACATCAAGGAAGTGCCGAATGGTTTGGATATTCTATCCGATAAAGTTTCAAGATTGTTCCCGACTGATGATTCACCAGCTTTGGACGCAGGGGAACATGTATGTTGTAAAAAAAAAACAGCCGCAACTTCAATTATAATCGATATAAATAATTTAAATTAAAAATTGCACGTTACGTGACGTGTAAAAATGGTTTCAGGATCAGCCATTATATGAAGTAATTCAGGAAGCTCTCACGGTACATTTTCAAGGTCTCTGCTTCAGAGAGAGAAACGCCGGGAAACAGATCGATGAGCATATGACCGATCGCGGATTCAACAATCAGATCGGTGTTCATCCTGAAACAGGTTTCGTATTCGGTGGCAACGATGTTAATTGCGGTACCTGGATGGACAAGATGGGATCTTCTGAAAAAGCTGGTAACAAAGGCAAACCGGCTACCCCCAGAGACGGTTCCGCCGTAGAGATAGTTGGGCTGAGCAAATGCATTCTCAGTTTTCTGGCTGAATTGTACAAGCAGAATCTTTTCCCGTACGGTAGTGTTCAACGTAAAAGTCGCGATGGTAAGGATACTGAAAACACTAACATTTAGACATTATTAACTTTGCATTTTTTTCTAATTATAATTATACATGAACTATAGGCCAAACAATAACTTGGAGTTACAAGCAATGGGCCGACAGAATTCAAATAAATTTCGAAAAGTACTTTTACGTAAATGAGATTCCGACACAGGACGAGTCGAAACCCAATTTGATCCATCGACGAGGTATATTCAAAGACAGTCACGGAGCGACGCAAGACTGGGCGGATTATCAGTTGCGGCCTAACTTTCCCATTGCGATGGTCGTTGTGAGTATTATTATCAGTGTTTAAAAATATTTTGCGAAGCATATCCTATAATATAGGAAAGAAGTATTTTATATTACAACAATCCAGTAATGATTCATAAATAGGCTCCGGAACTGTTTAATCCTCATCATGCCTGGACAGCACTGAAAAAAGCGGAGGAGATACTACTTGGCCCGCTAGGAATGAAGACGTTAGATCCTGCGGATTGGGCATATAATGGATATTATGACAATTCCAATGACAGTACCGATACTAAGACAGCACATGGATGGAATTATCATCAAGGGCCTGTAAATAAATACCTTTATCACAATCGCATAATCGTCTTGAAATATAAAGATTGAGAGATTTAACATTCATACAATATATTCTTAAACCTCTATCTTAAACATCTTAAACATCTTTCCCAATCTTTTCAGGAATGGATCTGGCCGATAGGATATTTCCTACGAGCACGTTTGCACTTTGCGTTATTAATCGACGATGAAAACGAATTACACCATGTGATTGAATCGACTGAAAGCATTATTTCTCGGCATTTTATCGAAGTGTCCACCAACCATTGGAGAGGCCTTCCCGAGCTTACCAACAAGGACGGAAGTTACTGCTCAGATAGTTGTCGCACTCAAGCTTGGAGTGCTTCAGTTATATTAGAGGTTTGTGCTCGAAGCGAATGAACTTTGTATAGTATTTTTTTTCTGGTATTTGTCACGGTATTTGTTACGGATTAGTATTATCATTTACGAGTCATTTAAGGATGTTATTTGTATACAGTCATTATTTAGCGTCTGTTTGGGATTCAGGTACTCTACGATTTACAAAAGATCAAACAGGAATTGCGATCCGAGCGAGTGAGATCCAGGAATTGATATAACTTTGCGTGTGTTCATCACTATCAGCTGCATCTAGAGCAATTAAAATTAGAGACGAGACGTAGTGACACCATGAACAGAGCGGATGACACGAATATGAGCTTTTCCACTGAAGCAATAATGACATCGCACACACCAGAAACACACGCATATCATATCCCGCACGTAGATGTAACGAACACGCAAATCTGCAAATATGTAGTCGCTGCTGATAATACATCCACAAAAAACGATATTCTGATTGCCACCGAGGAAGGATCGATCTCTGCGATTGATAGGAAACGCGATTGTACAAATTTTGGTAACTCGTCCGATTCGAGAAAGATTCCATTAGATGCGAAAAATGAGGTACATCTTGATAATCAACGTAAAGCTGAGAATTACAATCGACAACAGGTGATGATTGGAAACCACGAAACTACTGTTCGAGACCTATCGAATGTCGATCATGTTTACGAGGAAGTTAAAGCGATTAAACAGCCACGCAATAGTTTATATGAGTACGACATTCAAGATTACTACGAGAAATATAGCCCCGCTACAGCGAAGACCTTGATAGATACGCTTTTCTTGTCGCGACATACAATTTGCAAGGAGTGCGCGAGAACAAAGAGCAGCCCAGTGTACACCGATCGTTTGATATATACAAAAGAGTCGTTGCTCGCCATAGAAGTAGTTCTGTGTCAATATGACAATATATCATGCTTCAAGTATCCGCACGAGAATTCCGAGGATATTTTCTGCTCGCAATACGATCAAAATAGAGATTATATGCTAGTCTACAATTACACGAAGACTAACGTCGCAGGTATATTCTATTTTCATTGCTGGCCTCGAGACATCTTCGATCTGCAATCGCTGTTGAAGCCGAGCATCCATGTTGTAAATCGCACTTGCTGCAATCTTGTAGTAAATACTCACTTGTATCATCGCTGCATAAATAACTATCACGTGAGAATATCGAGAGCCGGCTGCACACCCATGACGTTTTATCGTGATTATGGCACTCTAATAAACAGCACGAAACACATTAGCCACAACGATTCACAGGATCCACCGATTTATCAGGTACGCCGATCGAAGGGTGACCACACCGACGAATACCGGGGAAACCGATTGAGCTTGTTGCTGCTGGAACCGTTACTGCTAATGCCGGAATCGGCGGATTCTGAACGCCGAGAAAACACTAAGAATAGGATTTCGCGGTCAGAACACGCAAAAATTATCAAAATAATAATGATCTATGCATTATCATTTCTTATTCTTACGGGCATTACATTTTACATCGTTTATTTTACCTAGAGTGGCTGAATTGTTAAATTTATGATGAGATATTTAGGAAAACTTAATCACATTCGAATATTACGTGATACATTTATTGTCATTAATTTTACGTTACATTTGTTACGAAGTGTTGTCGCCAAAATATTTAACGGAATGATTAAGATCGCATGTATGCATGATTTATATTTTATCGTTATATATGTATATATTTTATATTCATTATTAATGGGCTAATTTCGTCAATTAATTAATGACAAGAAATTGTTTTGTGGTATACAAATTGTTAAATCTACATCACTATGAGCGAATCGTTTTCACTTCTATCAAATTACACGCGTAACAGATATACAATATTTTAACAAGCTCGCATATAATTCATAAATATATTTTATATATATCTTTAAACTCTAGAGAGCGATATAGTCGTTTTAAATAGCTTCATTAAGGTTTATAAAAAAAAATGTTATTCGAGACACGTGCTCGAACTGTAATCTTAAAAGTTCGAAGATTTAATTCCCTTATGTGTTGTTCCATTAATATATCAAATAGTTCTTATTGTTAATTTCACTCACGATACTAGAAATGGAATTGATTTTAATGACGTCTTATTTATATAAATACTCGTCGACATATAAGATTCATGTAATGAATAAAAATTGATATGCTTTAGTATATTTTTGTCAAAAAACAAAGCCATTAGAGATTTCGAAATTTCGGATAAATCTCGTGGATATATCTTAAATTGTAAATACATATATTTGGATCGCAAAAAGTATCGGATATAAATTTTGTAATAAAACAAATGACAAAACTTCTAACTAGCACTAGAAGTTTCATTCTTATATTTATTTTGAAATGCCTTCATAATATAAATTCCGATATTTTAATTTTTAAATTGTTTGTGAATATTTACATTGGAGATTAATGCGTTTTATTATTGTTATATACTGACTTATTCTTATTAAATTTTCTTGTTGGTCACTCAATCGATCTTTTTATATCATTTTTATCCATTCACCATTTCAAAATTTTATAAACTATTCGCAATACAAGTAGAATTAAAATGACTAAAACAAAATTTATAAATTTTCAAACAAACGGAAGTTTTTTTTAATTATATATATATATATAATACTGACGTAAGATAAATTGAAATTGTCAAGATTAATTATTATAAGAGAAATATTCAGGTCTCTTACTTATAAAAAGTTACATATTAATGAATAATTATTTCAGGTACATATAGTTAAAAATCGTATATAAATTATTTATTAGCTCCAACATAAGTTGAACTATACAAAACTTAAAATAATAGTCGAAGAATAAAAATATATTTGTCCTAATAAACATAATATTAATATTAAGTCGAACATTCATTGCATTATCACTGATTCTATCCGCTGTAATCACAATTTTATTTTAAAAAAACGAGTTTTTGTTTTAAACAAGATCTGCGCGACTTTCATTCTTAGTCCAACTTGTTCATATATAATAAGTTATAAATATTTCTCATAATGATACAACTTTACTTTAGTTCGTGCTCCTACGTAGTAATCAGATTCAAAATGCTACAGGCATGTAAAGTCTTACACTTCACGTTTAATAAGGTTCATTATGCCGCTTCTTATCGACGTACAACGTCGTATTGCTCAATATAAATATCGTGTAAATCCTTAAAAGCCAATTGATGGGTTCTACACTAGCACCTAAACCGTATTTATAAAAATACGGTTATTCCTTTTAAATATCATCGAACAATCCTCTGGGTGGAGGACCTACGCGACTTGTACTCGTAGAGAATGCCCTCGTGTTACTCGGCTCGAACGAATCAATATCGCCTTGATTTTCCACGTCACACCGATTTGCACCATAACTATCTCCACCAAATGTCATACCGATATAATATTCCGTGGGATCGAAATCGTGCAACAGACCCGCCCTCGCAGATTCGACTGACTCGTCTCGTTTTAACGGCCGTACTAAAGAATTTTCAACGATAAAGTTACTTACATAATCTATATACGGTATCATTTATTTTTCATTATACATACCAGTGTCTGTACTTTGTCGAGACGTCCTGTAACGTGTACCCACCGAAATATTAAATCTTTCCTGCATTTCGCGTCGTCTATACATAGAATCCTCCGCTCGTTGCCGTTTACGTCTCTCTACAACAAGAAAAAATATGCTGTTTTCTCTCTTATCTCAATAAATTTATTTTTTCAATATCATTAGATATTAACACAAAGTCAAATTGTAAAAACCACTTTATGAAACATATACATCGTGTGTTAAACGTACAATTAATAATACAATTTATATTACTAATTGTGCATTTTTAACACAATACCTCTTTTTATAAGTTCTCTCCCTTCATCTACGAGATCAGTCGTAAATTCGTCATCATCAAGGAATTGCTGAAAGCCTAGCATAGAAAGCAATCGACTGCCTATGCTAAAGTACGTAGCTAAACAGAATGCTAGAATTGCCATTGGAAAGTACACATTAAATCCATCGGATATTATGGAAATCACGTCCATATGACCCATCACCTGACAAAAAATAAAGAACAATAAGGAAACAATAAAGATAGAAATCAATTTTTTTTAATTTATAGATAATTTAAATAATATTACTTGTGTATAATGCGTTTCTAGGATATGAGTTTTGATAATATGTGAATCCATGTGAATAAGTCCCAGGAAATTAAGACACATTGGCGGAGTTAAGCGACACAGCATCATACCACTAAATATAAGACTGTACTCATTCGTTTGATGATGGGGTGCCAAATAATAAAGATTCAATACTCGTATCTTCAAGACAGTCGAGTAGGCGCAATAGCAAAGATATGCGATGATCCATGTGGACAATACCTGACAATTGAGTAGAGATATGATATAAATAAAAATATATATACACTGTACAAAATAATAAACGCAAATCTTTACCTCTATAGTAAAGTAATCATAATTTCTCTTTGCTAAATTCAGAAATTGAGCGAATAAAGATAACACAGGAGACTTGTTGAAGAATGTTACTTCTGACCATACCACAGCCACTGATAAACAGCCGGCGCAAATAGCAGCTGCTTTTAAAACATAATCTTTCACAATACATTTCCAATACCATTCTGAAATTTAAGTGACAAAATTACAGAATCGAAAACTACAAAAATTAAATTGTTAAACGAATATTATGTGATATCAACACAGCAGAATAAAATGCAAAGCAAAACGAGATGTTACTTACCGACAACAGGATTATAAATAATACGAAACGGAAGCGAACGATGCGTAGGAAAAGCCTGTTTAAATCTTCTATCGTGACTCACTTGATTCTTCGCTACATCTTCCAAATAAAATATTTTATCCACTAAAATGCCCCATTGAGTTTCTATGCGTTGTAAAGTCTGCAACGCTTTTATAGTCTGAAATAAAAATAATAGCGATGTAGAAATGCAAACGCGTCATTATATATACATATATACTATTAACAAACCTGTCTATGTAGACGAATTAAAGCTTTTTCAGTAGGTGTATCCGTTGGAGTATCATCGGGCAATTGTCTTCTGTTCATTCTGTCCTTCAATTCTGCAGGTATTTTTTGAAAGATCGTTTCCAGATTGCAATGGAATGGATGACCGGGCCCAATGGATATCGTTGCAACTTGTAGCGACTAAATTAGTTATTAATTATTAGACTATTAGTTATTAATAATTAGACTAATTAGCGGCATTTATTATTTATTATAGTTTCTTTTCAATTCTTACAAACGTAAATGCATTAATATCTTTATTTTGTACCTCGAGTATGTCATCCACCGTCTCTTCCGCTTCGCACTTGTCTAAACTTAATTTCGCTACCTTGAAATAGCTGTAATTTAAAGTATATCCAGGCTTGCTGGCGTTCCATAATCCTCGAGGTACTTCTACAAGAGCGTAACCGAGCAATAAGACCAATAAAAATAAACCCCATGTATTGGACGCAGATGATGCTATGGCTTTTAATTTTTGCCTATAAAATAGTAAACATAATTATTTATTTCTATACACATTAGTAACATTTTAAGACTTATATTTGACTTATATTATAACTTCAAATTAATGAAACTCACCCATCGAGATCTAAGCCAGGCTTTAGCGCAATATAGATCAAGAGTATACCACATATAAACAAGTAACTACCATAATATATAGCGTTATCTATTAAAGCGGACTTTAACTTCCCGCGTACGGTAAAATCTCCTGCTTTTATGTAAGACTGCATTAACGGAAGTATCAACCATGTCAGGCATTGTGATGTCCAGTAAACTATCCTCCATAGATTTGGAAATACATTCTCTGGCACATTAGGCCAAGGCTCTTTACATGTGGTAACTGGTGCAGAGGTTGTGTTATTGGGATCTTTAGTGCTGTTGTGCACATTCTGCTCTACGCACTGTCTAAATACTGTCTGTAAACGCAAATATTCTTTTATTTATTTTATAGAGTAAAACAGAAAGACTATATATTAAAAAATGGATACTTTCTATTTAGTAAAAATGGACACGAAATCAACAGAAACATTATTCTTTCTGAATATTCATGAACAAAGACACAGAACAATATCTATGTCAAATTGAATCTAAATGGAAAGCACCCAATAATTAGAACAAGATCATGTGTTAAACAGATAATTACCGAAGAGACATCCAATGGTAATATGAAGATTATTAATAAAGAAAAGTACCACGCTATCAACACGGAAATAGTAACTGCAATGTGATGCCGAAACACGTTTCCATATTTGAAGAGTAGAGTCCCAGCCAGCAGGAACGCCACTATGATCTCTGTCAGGAAAGCGCCAAGCACCATCTTGTCTTTAATATCTGGTGCAACAGTGATATCTGATGAATTCTATAGATCTCTAGATACTATCGAATGCTTATGCACTTGCATTAGGACTATCCTCTGCCTCTTGCGACTCTTTGACTTTGATCTCCGCGTCTCTCTGCATCTTCTCGAGTTTCTCCAACGTGACTGATTTCAACGGAATCAACTTTGGCTTACAAAGTATGTAATTCAATGTATCTGTCTGATAAAGCAGACCTTGTCTCGGTAGGACTATGTCGCACTGTTCCACCTGACTCTCTGTAGGCTCTGACATCTTCGATCAATCTGCGATGCCTCAGAGAATTAACCTCTTCATCGTGACATCTGGTAGCAGAAGAATAACGCTGTAACGTCAAATGAAGATTAATTTGAGATTTCCATGAGGAAACGATATTGATTTTAATTTAGCTCAATATATCAATTTCTATATCGAATGAGCGACAAAAGACTGCAAAAAAACTGAACGTTTACTTGGATCCTCGATCATTGCAGACTCAAATCAACAGAAAAAAGTCAGGAATCAATTCCTCGCATACCTGACGTAACGCAATTGACAGAACGTTGCGACAGAACTTTCTCCTTGCTGTCGTCGCTAGATAACTCAGGTGATTATGCGATTATGCCGCCGACACCGTCACTCCGTAATCGGATACAGGCTGTCAGTAACGGTCACAGATGGTTAACGAACTCGGAAATCGTCAAATCTTTACCAGTGGCAACAGATCGCGAACCATAGCGAACCGAACTGAAGCCTGATGCATGGTCTACAATAGCAGTAGCAGTAGTGGATGAGACTGTAGAGTAACAAATTGACCAATTACAGTTGAATGTAAGAAGAATAATCGACTGTGATTGGTCAATTTCTTACTCTTACAGCTTTATCCATTACTGATACTGCCATTGTAGACCACGCATGAAGGTTTGTTCGCGTCGCAAGCTCCAACATGCTCCAACATGCTCCTACCATAGCTCCTACTCACTCTATCAAACGCATTGGAATGAGTAAGAGCTATGGTAGGAGTATATTAGAACACGTTGGAGCAACAAACCTTGGAAGTAGTGGAAAACCTGAAATGGAACGTTAGATGTCGCGACGCGACGGTGCGAAGCTCAAAACTAACGTCAATGACTGCCGGATCTGTAGATATGTCAGTGCGACCAGCTAGATAAGTTAGATAAGTAATGACACCGAAATTAGAGATAACTATATGAGAAAATAATTTGTAATTTTGCGGCGATAAAATATTATAACGTTACGAGCCCTATCGGGACTTTTCTGTGAGGACAAAAATTTGCCCAGAGTTGATGGTCTTTGAAGTATTTCGTCGATGGTAATGAAGTACCCAGAGCATTTATTTATTATAGCATTTATATGGCACAGTAACCGTACGTTTCGGAGTCATGAAACTCTAAGGGCCATGGCACACAAAAAACTTAAGGCAGTAAGACGTAAGCAGTAAGGAAATCAACATGTTGGATTCGCTATTGCTTATGTTATGGCCTTACGGACTCTACTGTGATTGGTCAATTCGCTTACTGCTTATGTTTTATTGCTTAAGTTATTTTGTGTGCTATGGCCCTTACGCTGTGCACGCATGTTACTCATGTGAGACATCATGCGTTAAAATTCGTGAAGTCACATGAAACAAATTATGTAAACAGCACGTTAACCGAACATTGCACGACGTTAACTTTATGGCTGACACAAAGTTGTAGCAGCATGTTGACTGTGCAATGAATAATACAAATTCTGTCTTTTTGAAACAGCACGCTAAGCACACAATCCTGTTACGGCGTGTAAAATTTTTATTAGTTTTCATTCTTGGAACCCAATTATGGGAACTTATCTTGTCATTATTGGCTGCGTTCAACAGACTCAAGTATTGAGTCTGCTGAACGCAGACATTTTATTAAAAAAAGGAATAAAATTTTTGACTGAGAAGTCTCATCATACTGCGCCTTTTTTATCCTACTCGATGTGGTTTTTTTAAATACGAGAAATTGAACTTCGCTGTGTCCCTCTAGTGGCGATGTTGTGCACTGCTTGAAAATTGGACATATTTAAGGCTTCCTAAAATTTATCTTCAGATACTCTACGAATTATTTCATTGGCTACTGAGCATCTAAAGATAAATTTAAGGAAGCCTTAAGTATAAGGTCTGACTATGAATACGAGCATAAAATCTGACAACATTGACTTGCACAATACCAGTACGATATCTAAACTACTGGAAATCACAGCCTGTTCAGCTGTGACTTTTGCACGTTTGACTATCTGGATAGACAAATGATGATATTACGATAATTAAGTAATAAGATACACTACAACTTGTCGGTGATGGTGTGACGATTCGTCATCTTGCGCCGCTCCGACATTTGCGACGATAACGAACTCGTGATGTATTAATAATGATATATACTACTCTTCTACGAGGCAGATGATGAAGAAAAAAGAGGACACAGGGATTGTCCTGGGTTGTCCTCAACTGCCTCAACTGTACTATTTTCAATGATTTAAAAAATCTGTTCTTTGTGTATGTGTATGTACGTAGGTTGTTATATTTTCTCATAATGAGTCGGATAATTAGATGATCGAGACGAAAAGAAGAGAGAAGAAAGATTCAAAAATTCGAAAAATTCGATGAACAGCTTAAATTTGTAAAAAAAAATGCAAAAGAATTCGTCGATGTTACGCTAATATTATAGATATTATAATTATTATATTATACTAGAGATAATATAGAGACATTTAATATTGGATGTTGGCCTTCAAATCGAGAAAAAGAGAAGTAGAGAGATGCAAAAAGAGTATTCGGAGAACAGTATCGTATCGAGTGATAGCTGGAGCATTTATGTGAGAATTTATGTGATGATTCGAGAATCGCGACAATCTAATCGAAAGTCAAAGAGATACGTTCGAGATTCGATCACTGACCGTGAATTTCGGGATTCGTTGATACACTGGAGAGGAATCAAATGATGCAATGATGATGAGCGTACAGCTGACATTCCTCGACAGTAAATAAAAAGTGTCATATTTAGCTTCGCTGAAGGGATAGGGTGACGATAACCGATCCTGAGAGCGACGCGTATCTGCCACTTAACACATATAAGATCACATTCAGTTTGTTTATTTGTAGCTTCGGTTGTCATAACATTATAGGTTCGTGAGGGACACAAAGAACTTCCTACAAATGATATATTCAAGATCAAGGCATATATACAGGGTGTCCCGTAAGTTTTTGCCAACCGTTTTTGTATAGATAGAGCGAACTAAACTGAATCGAAAAGTCCTCTACCATTTTGCAATTTTCGCAATAATTAACGAGATATTAATTACTAAATATTGTGCCGCGAATATTGGTCTTCAATAATTTTTTACTCAAAGACTATCAACTTTATAGAAAAAAGCAAGAGACAAAAATTATTTATTTTCTTCTCATAAAGTTCTGAGAATTTTTTAACACCGTATTTTCTCCTGATGGTAAAAATAAGAAAATGTAGTACTAAAAAGTTGATAAAAAATTCTGAAAAAATTCTTAGAGTTCTATGAGAAGAAAATAAATGATTTTTGTCTCTTGCAGTTTTTCTGTAAAGTTGATAGTATTTGAGTAAAAAATTATTGAAGATCAATATTCGGCAATTTTTAGTAATTAATATCTCATTAACTATTGCGAAAATTGCAAAATGATAGAGGATTTTTCGACTCAGTTTAGTCCGCTCTATCTGCACAAAAGCGGTTGGCAAAAACTTACAGGACACCCTGTATATAGATATATCTTTTAACATTTTTACAACAGATGGTTTTATAACTTTCAATTCACATTAATGTCTATTTTTATTAATTATGTGGATTAACTTTAATTTCGGTTCAATTAATTTAATCTTTATATTTTTTCTAATTTCTAAAACTAAAAAAGATTACAAAAAGTTAAATCAAAATTATAAACTTAACACTATGTTTGCAACTTAAGTCTTTTTTGATATACAAGCGAAATTTCACTCTTAAATTTCTCTGAAATAAAGAAAGGCGAAGTTCGAGTCTCCCTGCTAAAATATCTTGTTAAAAAAGTGATTGGTAATGTAACTCTGAATTTTTTCACATTTTTTAAAAACTTATAACAGTAAAAAAAACTTGGGCTGGACGGAGGAAGAAAAAAATATGATTGCAAGCGAATGATTAATTTATATTGGTATAAATTTGTACTTTTTATCAACAAATTTACTCAAACTGTTATTATATTTTAATATAATGATAAAATTATGATAAAAACATTCGTGATTTCGACTATATAAGAAAAGAAAAACCTAAATAGTAACAAATCCTTATTTAATGTCTGAGAAGTATTAATCAAAATGAGTTTCATAATTCAATCATACAGTCATGTCTGATAATAAAAAAATATAGGAAGAACATTTTTTTATTTAATGGAAAGAGATTTCAGTATGATTGTATACGCAACTATATGTATTTTTAACGAATTGTTAAATACATCGCTTGGTTTTTCGAATTTCAAATTGCATTCTGAAACGCGATTCGTTCCTGACTTCAAATCATTCAAACTTTAACAGTCGCTGATATGCGCCATATGTGATATGTCGTAAACAAACTTGAAAAAATTTTGCTGTATATATATATATATATATATATAATATATAAATTAAACCGCAAGTAAATCAAGCATGTTCCAATTATTGCATGTAATTGCCCATATATCTATAAATTTATTACAAGATTGATATAATTGTTTATATCAATCTCGATCAATGTCGATTTTTTCGCATTTTTGTAGCAAATTACGTTTATTAATCCACACCGCTAAATCAAACGCACGCGCCGCGTCACGTGACAGCAAGTACCAATCTGAACGAGGCTAAGAACCTAGTTTTCAAGCGGCGACTGTATTCGATTATATAGCTCTCTCTTCTTCTCGCGGACGCCGCGACATCTCTATCTCGCTTTCGAGAAGGTGTAGAAAGTGCAGCGGAATCCCGCGCGACTCTGAAAGTTCATAGATTTAAACTTTTTCACCTCTTTTCCCTTTTCTCTTCGACATCTAATCGTGTGTCTGTTGGTGTCTGTATCATTTCAAGTTCAGGAGGTATAATAACGCGATGCAGCTACGAGGAACGGATCCTGTATCAGCTGCGTTCGGTCTGAACGTTTACGCGCTTTCAGCACTCTTATAACCATCATTCTGTCTTCATCGTTCGTTAGACATGAAACAAACATAGGTCGTGGTCCGATTCGTGCTGACACGGTCATCGGCATCGTTTGTCTTCGTTCAACATTTGACAAACAACAAGGATGAAATGATTTTTAAGCGTTGTGAGCGTGAATCGGACCGCGGCCATAGAAGCGCTGAAAGCTCTGAAAGTATTCAAATCGAACGCGGGTCACAACATCGCGGCGGCTGGTTCAGGCCCAGGCTGGCCGTGTCGTGTCGTCACTATTACCACCACCACTCCGTCGTCGCCGCGGCGGCATCCCTCCACCACGAGTCCGCCGCCGCGGTTCAAAACCTGTCGGTCTGCATTCCAGTGTTGCCGCCGGTGAACGCCAAGCAGCAGCCGCTAGCAGCGGTAAGCGTGGTCTCGTCGTCAAGCGCGTCGTCCCGTTCCGTTTTGCCGACGCGTTTTCGATCGCTTCTCCGCTGCCTCGGCGTCACGTCCGTTGAATTCACGCCAACTGCGCGAACATGAAGTAGACGAGGGTGAACCAGGTCGTCGCGCACGCGAAGGAAGCGGGGAAGCAACGTCCCGTGAAAG